ACCATAAAAATATTAACATTGGTGAATGTGAGACAGCCCCAGAAATCTGAGTTATTCTAACAAAGTCAACACCTAAAGGATGAGATCACAGACTGAAACTCTCTATTTGTCCATTCACATAATGGAGTATCTGCCTCCCTTAACCTATCTGTAAACCTCGTGATGACAGGGGCCATTTTTATTTGCTAATATATACTCAGCCTTTAAGACACTGCCTAGCACAGAATAGGTATTTGATAAACATTTATTGAATTATGGAAGGGAGGAAGGGCAGAAGGATGGAAAGGACTAGAGAAATATGAAATATGAAACAAGGCATTTTAAAAAGACAATGCCAGGAAGTCAAAAATCACAAAGAAATAGGTAAATAGCCTGGCTGGCTTAATTAAAAACAAAGGAATACATGCCAAGTGTGGTAGCACAGGACTGTAGTCACAGCTACTCTGGAGGCTGTGACAGGAGGATCATTTGAGGCCAGGAGTTCCAGGTTGCAGTGAGCTATCATCATGTCTGAAAATAGCCACTGTATTCCAGCCTGGGCAATAGAGACCTCATATCTTAAAAAAAAAAAAAAAAAAAGTATACTCCAGGGCTCTGCCCATAGGAAATATCTAGAAGCAATGACATCCCATTAGCAATGAGCATGTTTAGAGACCAAATATTGTCTCTAAAATACCATTCCCTACTAAAAGGAACAAGGGCTCCTTAAAGAAATGGCTGGTTTTCAGGTCTGGGAAAAGGGAAAAATAAGATGAACCTAGAATATCTTATTGGGTCAAAAAATAAGGAAGTGTTCAAAGAATGATGAGAGCATGTCAAAAAGACACCGGAAGCAGCCTGAAAGGGCTCCTACTGGCCCAATTTGGGACAATTTGAGCAATAACAGATTAAAACCCAATGAATAAAACAGGAATACATAAATCCGTACTGATATAATAAATAAATAAATACATGGGGGAGAATGAAAAGCTCTGTTTTGCAGTAGAATGCCAACTAATATACTTGGAACAAAAGAATTAGAAAGTCATCATTTAGGAACCATTATAGTAAAAAATGATTCAGACAGGAATAATCAATGGATGCAAAACCAAGTTGACACTGGTGTGATGAGGAATAGGATATTAACATGATCTCAAAAATATTTCCCCACAAAATACTTATTACTTTATAGAGTAGAAACAGCAGACACCATCTAACTGACAAAAGTTAACATCGCCAGTAATGGGGCCAGTCAACGTGACATGTCTCCTCACGTGACACACTGAGAAGGACACAGGATCACTTCCATGGTCATTCCTGCCAAAAATGCATAACCTAAATCTAATCATGAAGACACACTGAAAAAACCCAATGTGAGAAATATTCTTAAAAGGTTTAAGTGATCTGAACACTTCAAAAATGTCTGAGTCATGAAAGATAAGGAAAGACTGAAAAAGAGTTCCAAACTGCAGGAGACTAAAAAGACAAAATGCAATGTGTAATCCTGGACCAGAAAGGAAAGGGATAAAAAGGGGAGTTTTTATTGTATTTGGTTATTTTTCTATAAATAACATTATTGGGACAATTGGCCACACTTACTCTCAAATGGCTCAGGGGGGAAATATACATAGTTGATTCTCTTTATTTGCAGTAGTTATATCCTATGAAGTCACCATAAACACTGAGCAAATATTGAACTACTGCTCCTAGGAGAAATCCACAATAAGGTTCCTGTTGGCTTGGGAAAACATTTTTACCAGCTGATCAATACATAACCTTGTTGTTTTTTTTTTTTTAATTTTTTACTTAAAAATATAGAGATAGGGTCTCGCACTTGCTGAGGCTGGTCTCAAATTCCTGACCTCGAGTGATCCTCCCGCTCCGGCCTCCCAGAGTGCTAAGATTACAAGCGTGAGCCACCATGTCTGGCCTCATAACCTTGTTTTGTGTTCACTTCTGTTGAAAGATATCTTACTTAATACATATAGTGGTTAATTAACATTGAACTAATGACCAAAAGCACCGTAATTCATGCCTAAACGAAGCTTATCTAACACACCTATTTTCTCCATAAAGTACATCACAGCCTTCTTGCACTTAGGAACACTAGATAGCACTTGAACACTATATTTGGAGGCCATTTTAAACAGTGAAACCAATAAAAATCACAAAAATGTGAAAAACATGGCACTGTATAGACTACACAGTATACTTCGTTTACAGCATGAGCACTCGCAAAAAAAGCAGAGCATCGCTTCCTCTGACTTCAGCTGGGAACATGTATATTGAGTGACTCCAATTTTTTGCTGCTCTGAACATATCCTCAAATGACTGCAGAAGTGCAGAGAGAATTGATTTAGGGATTACAAATAAATTTTAGAAAGTAGGTGAATTCATAAATATAGAATCCATGAATAACGAAGACAACGAACGAGGACTGTATAATATATATAGCCACATATATACGTATATGATATGTGCATATATATATGTAGAGAAAGAGAGAAGAAAGAGAATAAGACAAATACGATAAAATGTTGGTAATAGGAGAATCTGGAAAAAGAAAGGTATATAAGAGTTTTGTCCTATTCTTGCAATTTTTCTGTAAGTTTGAAATTATTTTAAAATAAAAGGTTAACAAAAGTTAAATAAGGCTTTCAAGTCAGTCACTTTAAAACAAAAAGAAAAGAGGCCCTGGAAAGGTTAAAAGCTAGTGAAACAGAGCCAGTTGGTGGAGGAAGTGCTGGGACAGTCCTCTTTTGAAGCCCTGCTACATAATCAACGGCTGGTCAGCTCTCAACAGAAGGGAGCCCAAGCTTAAAGGCATCC